AATTCATGTCACTCGACATCTGAATGAAGGCCACCCTGCTCCGCCATGCTGTCCCATTTGTGGGTCAGCTCTGGGCCTTGCCCTGATGGCTGCCCTTGGTCCCCTTGGTCACTTCCTATGTCACCCTAGTGTAAACACACCAGTCCAGTGTCCCCGGGAGAGAGCCGGCCATGTCCTCTTCCTTCTTGGCCTTGTGCCTCTTACTGGAAGTGCTTTTCCTTCCTCCCCCATTTCTCTGTCCTTGTCCCTCAGGCCCATAGATGGCCGATTATATGATGATGTGATAAGTGGAGGGAGTGGGCACAGCTAACTTGGAAGGGTAGGTGGGAAGTAGGGGCATGTCAGAGAATGTTCTGGAGGAGTTGACAAGTGAGCTGGGTAGTGAGGGCTGAGTAGGAGTTTTCAAGATTGCTGAATCCCCCTGGATGTTTGAAGAGAAGACAGCCATCAGGGGTGTGTGTATGGGGAGTGTGAACTAGCTCTGTCTTCCGGGAGCCCCATCTCTCACTATTAGAAGGGGGGAGTGTCATGCAGTTTGATTAAGGAAGTCCTCTGTATGCTTATAAACTGGCTGTCTCCTCCTGTGTCTTCAACTGGGGCCGCCTGTTCCTTTCTGTCAGAACCCAGTGTGGTCTGGGTTCTATTTCCAACACACTGCCTGTAGTGCTCCAGAAAACTCCCTGCCCTCCTCTCCAAAGAAATTCAAGCGATTCCTGTAGGAGAGTCTTTCTCCCTTTGCCTTGTGACTTTGGACTTGGCAGAGCTCGGGGGCTTGGTGGGAGTTTTGTTTTCTTTGATTTTGGTCTGTCTGGAAAGTTGTGAAGCCTTTGTGTGCTCTCTCTGGTGGACTCCACAGTGGGGTCTGTGTTGAAGCGTTTTCTTAACTCTGGGGGTGCATTCCTGGGGATTTCCTCAGGTACGAATAGAGCACAGCCAGCAGCCTCAGGACAGAGCTTTCTGGGACTTCTTGGTAGGTGGGTGCAGGTTAGAAAATCAAACTATATGGGAATTGCTTTCCAAAGGGTTCCAGTGTCTTGGTTTACAGGTTTCTTTTGAAACTTGAGTATGGTCTCTTTTACACAGTCTTGTAGTCAAAAATCCAGGACTCTTTCTCTATTGCCATTTAATCTTTCTACGGTTACCTTCTCCCTCCTTTCTTACTTCCTCCAAGCGTTTGAATTTTTGTAGTAAAACTGCTTTCAGGTGGGTAGAAACTTCTTTTTTTTTTTTTTCCTTGAAAGAAACTTAAAAAAATCTGGAACAACCCAACATCACCTTTACTTTTAAATTTTATTAATAATAACATTTACACATTCTTTTTTCATTTCTCAACAAGGACGTTTTTGTCTTATGTTCTTAGAAGTTGACTTTTCCCCCCTTTTTTTAGAATCCATTAAATTATATATTGCCTAAAACAGGTGGGCCTGACACTTTTTGATAGACTGTCAAATATCATTAAGTCGGGAGAGAGCTGATTTGGGCGGCCTTCCTGTGGCTGAGTGGGTGTTCGTAGGTGGGGAGCTGTGTGCTGTACCCCTTGACTAGAGAGGAGGGGACCCTTCATTTGTTGCTAATTTGGTAAAAACCGAAATGAGGTTCCAAGTGTGGGCAGATGAGTGGGTTTTTTTTAAAGTAGTTGGAGCAGTTGTCGATTTCAGGCACATTCGTCTTGGGCTTGAGTACTCCACCCCACCATTTGCCTAGGAGTGGCAGATACGTCGTCTGCTACTGCACACCCAGCTGCCTCCGTCTGTTTCTGCTCTCACCGTGGTTAACTAAGAGGGAGGTACAGAATGCTTCCCACATTGGCTGGTTCCAGTCCTGGGACTAAGAATGAGAGCTTCCAGCTTGGAGAAACAGTCTGGCTTAGAGAGTTTTTAACCTCTCTCCCACAAACATCCTCATAGCAAATGTTTATTGAGCACTTACTATGTGCCAGGCACGCCCAGCACTTTTTATGTGTGACCTCGTCATGTATTCCTCGCACCGGCTCTGTGAAATAGTGACTTATCCCCATCCAGGGCTTGAATGACTTGCCCAGTGTCACTTAGCACATGGGAGAGCTAAGACTCAGTGCAGGAGATTGGCCTCTTAAATTTGTGTCCCTTATTCCTTTCCTACATTCTTTCAATGTTCAGTAATTGGTAGTGTTGGTTAATGGTGATGGAATTATTATTATTATCATTTTTATTATGAAGAAATGGGGCCTGAGAGGTGAAGTGATTTCCCCCAGTATGTTGCTGGCAGGGCGTGACTAGACCTCAGGACTTGGCGGCCCAGGCTTTGCCAGTCCTGTGTGTTCTCAGTGAGTATGCCTCACCGTTTCCTTAAGGAATATTATTTATCATCTCAGTGGCCTTCTCCAGGGCTCCCTGGATGGCAGTGGTTGCTGTTTGGGAGGGGCTCTGGCTTTCCTGTCCTTCTCCCTTGTGTAGCTGAGAGATGATGGCAACTTTGCCTAGAAGTAGGTAGGCAGTGTTTCTGAACATGCTCAGGCTTCTCAAAGTGCTTTTCATCATGTCTCGTGGCTAAGAAAGAGAAGGCATGGCCAGATGAGGCTGTTAATGGTCAGTTGAACCTTTGTGTCCTTAAGGATGCCAACTGTTGTCCCTGTGGATCAGAGGACTCTGATCTTGACCCTTATCTCTTTAATTACTTGGATGTGGATGTAGGAAGGGTGTTCATATCTGGACTTGATAAGGTAATGGTGAGTATATTGGGTGCCATAATTAAGATTCCCCTGTGATGTCTTGATGGGCCTGCAGTGGTAGCCTGAGCTCTTGTAAGATTTCATATCAGTTAATATACAGTTCTGCTCTTGGGTTGAGAAAATCCCCAGGGCACAAACCCAGGACGGAAGCCATGTGGTGACAAGACCTGTGCACGGGTGTTGGTTGACAACAGGTCAGGTGTCGCTGCCAAAGGGCCTCTGCCAGGAGCCAGTCAAACAGGATCCCTGCTCTGGTGCAGCAAGGTATCCCAGGGGAGCACATTGCTGCTTAGAGGAGTAAATCCAGAGACCTGTGCTTGGGCCAGGCAGGTCTCAAATGCACAAATGCAGAACTGATGGATGTGATCTAGTGGCACGTGTGAAACAGACGTTAGAGTTTGGGTGGATTGTAAATTCATGGTGCTGTTGTAGCCAGAACTTCTAATTTGATCTTAAATTTTTGTGTGCAATGACTTTATTGTTTTCATTAAAATGATACATGACCCTTATAAAAAGAAAATATAAACCTCTAGCCATAGAGGAAAGTACAAAGAAGAAAGCAGCACTTAGCTCCCAGAAATAACCCATTTTAATATTGGGTAGCCAGTTTTCCAGATATCTCTATGTGCATTTTGAGACAGAACTGATAGCTAAAGAAGTATATAAATATGCAATTTTATAACAAGGTGTTCCTTATTATGCATGCTATGCAAGATATTTTAAAAATAAAAAACATTTAATTTTACTTTCATTTAACAGAAAATATAACGGAAGTAATACTGAAGAAACTGCTGAGCTTCAGATAACTGTTTCTTTAATGAAAGAAATCAGTTTCTCAGATGTGCTTCTAAGGTAGTAGTTCTTAACCAGGGGTGATTTTGCCCCCTAGGGGACTTCTGGCAATGTCTGGAGACATTTTTGGTTGTCCCAACTGGAGGGTGGGGTATTGGCATCTAGTGAATGGAGGGCAGGGGTGCTGCTAAACATCCTAAGACGTACAGGACAGCCCCCCACAGCAACGGATTATCTGGCTTCAAACGTTAGTAGTGCTGAGGTTGAGAAACTACTCTAAGGGTAAGAAAAAAAGATGATTAAGACCATTAGGAAGGTGAAATCATTTTATTTTATCTTGGTTTCAGTTTTAGGCTGTTTTGATTGGGCATCTGTAAGGATGCATCATAGTCTCTCTTTCCTGTCCTTAACAACAAAATGAAGAGGTGGCATGTGTTATAGTTACCTTGTTGAAGTTTATGACATTTGCATTCTGTTCTGCAACTGTAAGTCCTGATTGTTTAGTCTTAGTTTTATATTTAAATGATCAGGGCCAAACACCATTTCTCTACCCATGGCTTCCTTCTTTCTGGGTTGATTTTGAATCACCTCTTGGTTGGTGGGCTATTCTATCTTAATATAAATTTAACATGTATGGGAAGGGGGGTGTCAGCCCCCACTCTGCTTTGCCCTGGTCGGACTCGTACCTGTAGTTTTGAGTTCATGTCTGAGCACCATATTAAGAAGGGCAGAGAGACATGATGGAGTGTCTCTGGGACCCTGTGGGGGTGACAAACAGGGTCCTGTGGAGAAATGGGATTGGGTTTTGAGAAGACTTTCATGTGGAAGCAGAGTTACTGGTCTTAACTCTGAGGGCTCCCGGAAGGTTAGATCTAGAGCTGCCTGAACATGAAAAACAGGGTGGCTGACACAGGCTGCCTTGGGAAAGTGGTGAGTTCTCCGTTAGCTGAAGTGTGCTGGGGAACCACCTGTTGCCATATTGTCTGTAGATGTTGGATTTCAACTATCAGCTGAGTGGCTGTTTTAGGTAACTTTCCAACCTTGGGATTCTGATAGTCTAATAATGCTTCCCCGTAGCTACCTGTTCCTGGGGAGGAGCCTCAGTCACTCTGGTTTCCTCCTTCCTGCTGTTTGGGACAAGGGAGAAACCAGCCAAGGCCATGTTGAAGAGCAAGTGCTGCAGGACAGAGCCTTAAATGTTCTGTACAGTTTAAATTTGGATCTGCCACCTACTGACTCAAGAGTGTATGTGTTAGATTCTGCCTAACTAGTTCCAGTCGGTGTCCGTAGTATTTACGAGATTACAGGGACTGAGTGCATTCTAAGCCCATTCCTGAGGCAATGCATGTATATACAATTTGGGCAACATATCACAGACACTGCCAAGGAAGAGAACATACAGATTGTTCCCTGCATAATTGGAATTGGGTGTTCTGTTAATGTCATAATCAGATGTCTATCACAGTGTGACTTACTGATGAATTTGATTTGTTTGTAGGGGAGCTATCCAGTTTGGGAAGATTTCATAAACAAAGCAGGAAAGCTGCAGTCCCAGCTTCGGTAAGTAAAAGCACATGTCCTACAGGAAAATAGCAATGTCCTTAGATGGAGTGTGAAGGACCAAGATGCAGATTGGGGTTAATTTTGGATATGTTACAGGTAGAGAAGCATGATGTGGGTTCTGTTTGGAGCGTTACCACTTACTGGCCAGATTCTCCTGGCCCCTCATTTCTATGTGTAAAATTGGACCCATATCTACTTTGCCTCCTTCCACAGGAGTTTTGAGAGTCAAATGAGGTGCTGTATGTAACAATGGGCAGTATTTATGTAGAGCTCACTATGTGCCAGGCATTTGTTAACTTGTTTTAATCTCACAACCCCACGAGGTAAGTACAGATATTATCCCCATTTTGCTGATGAAGAAACTGAGGCACAGGTAACTTAAATAACTTATCCATAGTCATATCACTGGTAAATGGCAGAGCAGAGATTGGAATGTAGGCAGACTGGCTCTATAGTCCATGTTCTCCTCCTTCCTGCTTACGGCCTCTCTGCATAAAGAGTTTAAAACCTAGTGTTAACTATTGAAGAATTCCATTTACATGAAATGTCTAGAAAAAGCATATCTATAGATACAGATGTAGATTAGTGGTGGCTTGGGCATAGGGATAGAACAGGAGATTGACTACAAGTGGGTAAGAATTATTTCTGGGGTGTTGGAAATGTTCTGAAATTGCATTATAGTAATGGTTTCACAACTCTGAATTTACTAAAAATCTTTGAATCCTACCCCGAAGAAGGTGAATTTTATGGTATGTAAATTATGCCTCAATAAAGCTGTTCAAACAAACAAGATCTAGTGCTGATCCACTCTAAGGGGCTATTATTGCCTATGCATGTGCTTGTTCATGTTTTACTCAATATGAAATAGAAAAGCATGTCAACATCTTCTTGTTAAAACTGTATCCTTTTAAATCAGTGTAGAGAAGGGATACGATTGTACTTAGTGGTGCTCCATGAAGGATGGGACATCTAAAAAAGTACATTGATGATTCCCTGCACAGCATTTGGGGGACGACATTCCTTAGTTTGGATGGATGAGGAGGGTTCAGAGGGCAGAGCATGAAGGTGTTTTCTAGGATAAAGAGACAAGAGTGATGAAGGGTGAGGGAGGGATGATGGCATGTTCTTGGCCCTTTGCCCATGGACAGCAGGTTACTGCCCAGAGCTTTAGCTGTAGGACTGGAGGTTCCATGGCTCACCTATAGATCAGGTGAGAAGGGGTTGGGAAGGGTAGATCTTTTCCCATTCATTCCTTCACCTTTGTGGGCCTGGGATTTCTATCCATGAACTTGGGATTTCCAGAGCTGTGAACAGACCTCCAGATGAACAGTGGACTCTGGAATATGGTGCCTTTTCTAGTTGTCAAGCCCTTCACTGTTTCCTGCGTAGGAACTTGTGATTGCTTCCTGCTAGATCAGATCCAGGCTCCTGTACTCAGAATTTAAGGCTTTTCATTTGAGACCTTCACCAGCTTCACCTTGTACAGCTACATCACCCCCACCTTCACTGCCATGCTTACCATTTATTTCAGGTGGCTTAGTCTCTTTCCTGTAGGAGGTCTCCTTCTGTAGGAAAACAGTAAAACATTTAAGTACATTTCCCCCCACTTTTTCTTATTTGGCCTCATTCTTATTGGCCTCATTCTTATTTGGCCATTCTTATTTGGCCTCTGAAAGCCTGCCAGAAAATATTTCTCTTCCCCTTTTACCAGTGAGGATGCTAAAGCTTAAAGTGATGAACTGATTAGCTGTCTTAAATATTTAAAGTAAAACGTATCCCTACTGCTAAAAGGCACAGTTTATATTATTAAACAATATTTAGGCCTGAGAGCAGGGACCATTTCTTTTATTATTTTGTCAAGTTTCTAATGCAGGGCTGAGAGTACCATAGGGGCCTCATGCACATGACTTCATTTTTTGTGTAGACAAAAGATGAAGTTTAGATTGCAGAAGAGGCATCCAGTCTTAGTGTATTTAAGCGGAATCACTCCTTTGTGCTGCTGGTGGTTGCATGTTTGTTCTGCCCCATCGGTGAGGGCCAAGATGTCTCGTGACTGCATCAGACAGTGAAATATGACCGTCATTTAAAAGCCCTTAACTCCTCAAAATTGACCATCGTCCTAATTTCCAGTGGAGCGCTGGTGACTGCGTCGTAATATGCAAGGCACCTCCACAGCTGGCTCATTAAATTTGGATGGTTGGCACTGAGTTGGATGAGAATAAATCCAGCCACTGTGTCAGATATTAATTGAAATTCAGATGACCTATTCATAAATTCCAGGGTGTTCAATAAAGCTAACTTTTCCAGGGTTGGCAGTTGATTTGATGTCAACTCTTTAAAAAATAGGCTTCAAAGTGGTTTTTTTGGTGTGCGTATATATATCATTATTTTTTTAAAAAATTAGAGCAGAATGTTTTCTTGCACTACTGGAAAATATCAGCCCTCATTTTGAAGTTTGGCTCTAAGGGACTGTCACCCAGGTTCTCCCAGGGACCACTCCCGGCACCTTCCAGGAACCTTTCGTTTCATAGCCACTGTTGCTTATATTTAAAGGCCATTTCTTTCCTTTCCCCCCATTTTGAACCCTTCCATTCCTAGTCCTTTTTGTTACTCTTCCTTCAGCAACTTTGCATTCTTGGGGATTGCTCAGTAAAGACTGGATTCATGTAAGAAATACTTGAATATTAGCATCCAACTGTGAGTTCATTTGTGAAGTGTTCACATGCTAGTTCTGGGGCTTGTTTGTGTGGCATCCACGCACCTGGCTTGGCATGTCGACTGCTCTCCACTAAGTGGTGTCTTAGGTTGTGACTCCAGGAATCAGTAGACCACAGAGAGCTCAAGGCATCTTATAGTTAGTGCTCAAGAAGATGTTGAGAATTCAAAACAATTTCTAGGCACTAAAATGAGTAGAGTAACTTTTCCCATTCTCAGCTTTTAAGAATTCAGAAGATACACTTGAAATAGAATCCCAAGGTTAAAAAAAATAGTATCTCAGTTTCGTTATAATTAGGATTTAGGGAGAAGAGTCACACTGCCACGATCTCGTCTTGTATTGGGTCTAGCATAGGCCTGTGAGTCATAACACTGGGGTGCTAGTCCCAGCTCTGGTGCGAACTAGAGATCTTGAAAGTCACTTTGCATTTGTGGCCTCAGTTTTCCTGTCCCTAAAATGAATTTGAACTGCATGATCTCTCTCCGAGATTCCTAACCCCAGTTCATGTATATATATATATATATATATTGTTTTCCTGCTCTATCCTGTACCACTTATATCTTTTATATTTTTTCTTTTAGGTAGAAACACCTGTCTTTTCCACCTTTGCAAAATTTTGCCTGATAATAATTTTATACATTTAGGTGAAATGAAATGGAAAGGTCTTTCTGGCGTTTATTGATTAGCACCAAATGAGCTGGACACTATTGGGGTAGAGTGCTTGGAAAAAAGTGGGTCCATCAAGCCAGTGGCTGTCCATATCCAGCGGAGTTGCTTCTCCTGGAAAGTTGCATTCACTCCTTAGCAGAGGTTTTAGCTTTTGAGCTGAAATGAATTTGCTAATGTGAGGCATTCCTCATGCTTTTGTTATCTGTTTGCATTTCAGGACAACAGTAGTAGCAGCAGCTGCCTTCTTGGATGCCTTTCAGAAAGTGGCTGACATGGCCACCAACACACGTGGTAAGCAGATGGAGGCTGCCTCCAGCATTAGCTGAATTCAGCATGTGGGCTCTTCCCCTTGGGTGGCTGCACAAGAAGATATAGCTTAAACATATCAGAGCTTAGCTGACTCGTGTTTTTCATTTTTGTTTTTAAAGTCCGTGTGCTTCCGCATATTAAAAGTTGCAACTAGTTTTCCAGATAGTTAAGCACATGTGAAGAAAAATAAAGTGAAAGAGCCACTGTTTTTACATGAGGTGGCTTGATGTGTTTTTTGATCACTTTAATGACGCGCTGCTTGTAGAACCTTGAGCTATGCCTTTAGTTGCAACTTGTTTTTCTGCCCCCTCACGTGGGTTGTCCTGTGGTTTTTCTTGTTCCCTTGTGGAATGAGAAGCAGTGGGGATGATTGGATAGACCGTTTTTCTGGGTTCCCATAAAACAAGGAACCCTTTTATAACGAGTGTCCCATTGCATTATATCTATTTGTGTCTCTTACATTTGACTGCAAACCCTTTGAGCCAGAGTCTATGACTTATTCATATCTGAACCCCCAGAACATAGTGCCTACAACATAGTAGATGTTTAAAGTATATTTATTAAATCAGTAAACAAAGGGAAATCTTTTGGAAAAATTTTATGTTTTCAGTGAATACTGAATCATACAAAGGATATTCATAAGATGCGAAAGGTATAAGAAGAAAATACCCCTGTACGTACCAACATCTTCATGAAATACAATTTAGCAGGAATGGAGAAGTCCCCTTTTCAAAGGGGAGAGATACTTCATTTTTCATTCCAATGCAGTGACTCTCTCCTGCCTCTTTCTTACCTGTCTGGGTCTCCGGTGTCACACTGGCAGCTACGTGCTTCATTGTCAAGGTAACGTTGGAATATTTGGGTGTTGAGGGCAAGTGCTGGGGCATCGTTCCCAGTCCCGCGAGAGTTAAGTTTCTCAGAAGCGCATGAAGGGTACCTCCAATGGGTTTGAGTAGATACCCATTTGCTACAGTTGCATAATTAAATATTTGCATGAATTTGCAGTGAGGACACTACTCATTCATTTAACAAACTCAAACTCCTTTTATTTCAGGCACTGTCATGGGACCACAAAAACCCCTGCTTTACTCTCCTTGTCCTGGAGGAGCTTGCAATTGAATGGGGAAAATGAGATGTGTAAATGAGGAATTTCAGTGTAGAAATGATATGTTTGGTGCGGTAATAATGGTAGAACAGAGTGCTCGGGGATTATAGAAAAGTGAGCAATTAAGTCAGCTTGGGAAGCTGCGGAGGTTTTCCCAGGGGAGGTAATATTTCTCCTCATTTCCAAGATGCCAGTGATGTTTCAAAAGGTTCCCTGGGAGAATCTGACTAAGACACCAGAGCCGTGGTCTCCATCCAGTTTGTTAGCATGGTGGGACCTTAACTGGTATCTTTTTCAAAGCCCTTAAAAAAAATTATCATGTAGCTTTAGTGTGTCTGTTACAGACACTTAAGAAAATGCAACCATATAAAAGAATGTTACATGCAGTTAGTGTTTACCACTGTTAATAGTATTGGGTCTGTTTTATATTTTCTTCTACTTCTGAAGTCTCTGGAATAGGTCTTGTCAGCCGTACTGATATCGCTCTATAATAGCCATTAGAATGTATTGTTTTTTTTTTTTAAGCCGCTCTACTGTATTAAATAACTTCGATATCTGATGCTGCATGTTTGAGGCTCTGCGATTCCTAAAGTTTTTATATTTTAATTGCTTAATTATGGGATGGATCCTACTGGATGGACTAGGAAAGGGATCTCCTGATTGTCCATAATTTCCTGCATTGGGAACCTGGGTTTTTGAAGATGCTCCTCCCCAGAGTGGTTCTTGGTGGGACACTGGAGCTGCCTGGAAATTGTCATGGTTTGAGGGGAGGAAAAATGGCAATTATTTGTGGGGGGAAAAACCCAGAAAAGCCTTTCTGTGCTGGTGATGGGGGTGGAGTAGGAGTTTGGAGGTGATAAATTTGGCCAAAGACAAATAATGTCACAGAGAACAAACCCCTGCCTAGAAATATTTTTAAACTATTGGATTTCAAGTCATTTTTAGTGATGCTAGAATACTTTCTGTTTAGAATCTGTATGTATTAATACTTTCATTGGGTATGTGCATGTGAGCCCTCATATGACTTAAAAAGTACGTAGTTGATAGAAAGAAGGTGTATTTTCTGGAGATAGTAAGAGAACTTGAATGCATTTCTTATATGGCAGTAAGTATCCAAAGTGATTTTTATTAAGTTACTTCTTAAAAATTTAAAAATATAGAACATGCTGTTTAGTTTAAAACATTCAAATAATAAATTATATAAAGTAAAATCTACCCTTAGCCTACCCAGGGATTGATTGGGTTTAGTGTCATTTATAGATTTATTAATATTTGCATATATAAACAAACACCTCTAAGAAGAAAAAAACTGGTTACAGAATAAGTGGAATGATCTGTGGAATACAGTATATCTGTGTGATCATTTCTAGAACGTAACCCCTCATTGTTCCTGAGCTTTTATTCTGAGCTATTTTATTCCTGAGCTATTATTTTATAAGTATAATATAGCATATTATACTTATCTTTCCACTTCAGCACCATAGATCTACCTCATCCTTTCTAGCCACCAAATGGAATTTCACTGTTTGGATATAGCACAATTTAATCATTATTCTGTTGATATTTGGATTATCTTCAGGTATTTGCTATTACAAGCCCTGTTGTAGTTAATGTCCAGGTATACATCCTTTTGGAGTTTTATGAGTGATCTATTTTTAATGGTGTATGGATCATCAAGGAAATGGTGAATCTGTAGAAAGTGCTTCAAGCAATTTTGGTCAGCAGCAAATAGGTTTGGGCTGTAATTCTAATAGAGTTTGCAGTTTAATGTCTACCCACTGCAGAAGAAGTATCCCTAGTTCACTCCCTGGCTTAGAGCCTTTAGATGTTTTTGAGTCCCTCTTGCTGGAAGTGGTAGAAGAGAATTGCAGTTATTCTTAAATACATCTCTTTTGGGCAAGCATCCAGAATTTCAAGCTAGCAGGTCTCTGGTTTCCAAAATATTAGCATTTCATATTGTTTCCGAAAGGAAACAGCTCTGAAAAGTCTTTGTCCTTTTCAGCAAATCTTTTGCACTAGCCATTAATAAAATGTACTTAAGAAAAAGTTTTTAAACTAGTCACTATAAAAGCAAAATCAATCTAGTCATTATATACCTATTGTTAATGTGGAAATAAGTTAGAACTCAATGATTTTGTTCATTGTTTTTTTAAACAAACGAGTGCAAGTGGATATTGTAATGTGTGTATATCAAGGTTAATAATTAAACTGTAATGGAATTTGAGTTCATTAGCATCAGGCACAGTCCCATATTTTGTTGATTTTATACTCTGGAATACATATACAGTTTGTGTTAAATATGAAAGTACACCTTCTTCTGTATCATTGGCCACAAAGAATTAGTCTTAGGCATTCAGTATACATAGAACCCCAGACATTGTGGGGCAGGGGCTCAACTTTCTTTGTATTCACAGTGGAACAGCACGGGGCTTATCATAGGAGTTGAGAAATGTTTGAAATGAGTGGCATGCATTTGTCTGGATCACTTAAAAAAATAAGAAAAAAAAAAAAAAGGAAATTAAGAAACCAGCACTCTACAGGAGCGGTGGCCTGTGTCGTGGAGTAGAATTCGTACACCTGTGAGCCCGTGCCCTCACGCGTCGGGGACTTGCTCGCTGCTTCGTTGAAGGCAGGAGCACTGGGCAGATGAAACCCTCCCACTTAGTCAGCTCTGGCCGGTCGTGGTCACGGCAGCATTTGCTGGTGTCAGCAAGGGCCTTTGAAGAACACAGTGCTGTGTGACTTTCATTTTGTCTGCCTCTGTGTGCCTCTGTAATTACTTTTATGGCTTCAAAAAACTATCTCAGCGATGTTTAGATGATACACCAGACCCATAGGAAGAAGTTTAAGATTCAAAGAAGGAAGGAACTGAATCCCAGGTAGACTAGATCATCTTTATCCCATCTCACAATCGATTAGATCATTTTTAATGTCCAAAATCTTTTATCAATCATTTAAAAAAGTGGGCATGGTTTTATTAGTACTATTGAAAATCATGATAGCTAGCCTTTATTGACTGTATACCATGAGCTGGGCTCTGTTCTGTGTGGTGTACATACGTTTTCCTTTTGTTCTCCTAACAGCCTATGTAGTAGGTACTTATGATCTCCATTTTTGGTGATGAGGTTGGGCCAGAGAGCTTACCTAAACTGACCAAGGTCACACAGCCGGTAAGTGGTGAAATTGGAGTCTGGCCTGGAGCCTGCATGTTAACCAACCATTAAATTATAAATCCTTATGTGAAGAGCTCCTGGATTTAATATAAGCTTGTCTTTTGCTTTTGAAATTACTTGATCCTGAATGTATTAAAAAATCTATGTAGCACAAAAAATAATCTGTGTAGTTGGAATATCAGCAACAACAAAATCTACATATAGTAGTTGCAATAGCAACTAGATTGGGACCTTGGATGCCTGAGTTTGACTTCTGGCTTTGCCAGCTATGTGACCCTGAATAAATAATATTTCACTTCTTTGGGCTTTAATTTCCCCACTTGTAAAAGATCCCAGGGTCCTAGATGATCACAAGTAACATTTTTTGCTCTAATATTCTGTGCTTTAAAAATCTTGCTTTGGTTTTCATTAAATGTGAATGAAGTTGGACAGTGTAAATTTATTTTTCTGTATTATCTTTAGAGCTTCCAGTTTTTGCTCTGGGGACAAAGGGAATGGAGGAAGCCAAGTTAAGCAGACAGTAACAGAGTGAAGATTGGAAAGGAAAAGGGGAAACTGCAGATGGGCATCTGGGTTGGTTTGAGTTATAAAAAAGACCCTGCTCAGACTTGGAGTGACACGTGAGGAAGGCAGGTGGAAGCTGGCACTCCTAGGATCGCCACGAAAGGCTGGACTGTCAGACTTGAGCTTTAATTAGTGAGCCA